CAACTACTCGCCGTTTTCCCGTTTTCGCGTTTTCGCCGTTTTCGCGTTTTCGCCGTTTTCGCGCCGATGCGGTGTTCTAGAAAACCGTGAGCTGTGTCAAATCCAAGCACTTTGTTTCCGCCGTTTTCGCCGTTTTCGCCGTTTTCGCGTTTTCGCGGTTTTCGCGTTTTCGCGTGGCCTGCCCCCGCATCACCGGGGGCCGAGACACACGTTTCGTATGCACAGTAGGTCCACCGGGTGTGTGTCGATGCTTGGCGCTTCAACCTCCGCGCCTGAGGTGTGGATCTTGGCCACCCTGAAGTTGGCGCTCTTCCTTTGTGAGCGCACGGTGTCGTGGTCCACTCACCTGCCGGATCGCTTCGTGTCCATGCTGGTGTTCTGGGCCATAGAGGCGGGGTGAGGGAGAGTCGGCCAGTAGTAACAAGGGGGCATTCGACTAGCAGCAAGAAGCTACGAGTAGCAATGCACCTGTTACTAGTAGCTTCTAGCTAGATGAAATAGAAGACTGAAGGATGGTACGGAATTATGTCAGTAATTATTTTTTTCACTGGCTCAGCCAAGCCAAGCCCGAGTGACAGGGTCTGGCACAGCTAAGACAGCTAAGATCGTTTGTGGGATGAGTGCCCCATACACCATTCCCAGCCCAAACATAACACAATCGAAAAAGAACAACCAAACCAACTCCTCTCTTCCGAGCCCGGCCGAGCTGGGCTCGGCCCCGCCGCAGATCTTCCTGGCTGGCGGCTATTTGCTGACACACTATGTGTACCGGACGAACATTTGGAGCATCCTTGGCTGGCGACTGGGCGGTTCGACCGAACCCATGGGCCACGTCGCGGGGATGCGACGGAAGGTGGAAGACGTGGGGGGCGAACGACCTGTGAAGGGTCTTAGGAAGCTATCACTTCCTGCAATTTTAAATGCAAGATACTATGGCAGATACTATTGCATAATTGCATGAGTTGGATTCGTTATTCTGTATATAACATTATATTAAATATGACATATGCATACACGATATGTGTGTATATATACAATGTACTATGGACCATCGACAAATCCAGACGATGACCCTGTTCCTGTAGTCTGTAGTGTTTTTTCCTCGAGCGATGTTCTATTCAATCATTTTTGACCTCAGATGACTTCTGACCCAACATTTCATTAACGATTCTTCTGGCACAGCTTGGCGCGGTGTGAGGACCTCCCAACCTTGGCGCCTCCCTTTGAGGTTGGTCTTCACGATCCTCTTGACCTATGGTTTCTTCACCCGCCTCACGAACCCCTCGTTTCACGCTCCGGCGCCCTAAAGGGCGGCGCGACGGATCTCCAAAGAGGGATCGAAGCTGGCTGAGTCGAGCTGGCTGAGTCGGCGATGAAAAAGGGGGCGCTTAGAGCGCTTGCGCAAAGCGCTTGCCGCGTGGTGCCTAAGAAGTGGGTGGTGCAAGAGGCATGATGCACAGTGGCGAACGGAGGGGCAACACCAAAACTGGATGTGCAGTTGGTGAATTCAACTGTGCTGAGGGACAACCTCACATCACAACCAAAAAACTCGAGCATTTTGATCTTGACCTTTGCAATGCTTTCTTACTTACTTCTCCAGTCTTTCCCGGATTCTCTGGTTGCCCACATTGGAAGAGGGCTCGTGCTTGCTGTGAAGAGTCGCTGCCCGCCACTGCCCGTCGCCCCTGAGGTTCTGCTTGATGGGCTACGTGGCCGCGCTCTTCGTCCGTGCCCGGCACCTCATGGCCATGGGCGCCGCTGGCGATGCGGATGCCATGACATCGGCGAATGCGGTGTCTGGGCACGAAGTGACAGAGTTGGGGCCCTGGCCGGACCGTAGGTTGTTGAAGTTGCAAATTAGCTGGATCCATGGAGAAAGCATCTCACTCCCTCCCTGTGTCTGTCGGTCAGTCGGTCAGTCGGTCTGTCTCTGTCTCTGTCTCTGTCTCTGTCTGTGTCCGTGTCGGTGTCTGTGTCTGTGTCTGTGTCTGTGTCTGTGTCTCTCTCTCTCTCTCTCTTTCTCTCTCGCGCGCTCTCGCTCGTGCTCTCGCTACCTAAACATCGGAGAACTGGCCGGAGCATAAACGTGTGGATGCAAATGAGATATCACCCCTCCAACTTCAGGGTAGGGTGGAAAGCCTGATTCAGGGGTTGGGAAAACCACGTGGGAGCTGTGGAATGGCGGGCTCGCTCTCAACTCCAGAGCCTTAGACTTGCATGCCAGGTCTTGCAACTTTTTGGGCGTCTCTTTCATTGGGGTGCGGCAATGCAGCAATGCAAACACACCCGGCCTTAAGGATTTGTCCTACATCGAGCCCATCCTCGGGAAGGAGATGCCCAGCTGCAGTGGACGCCCCGCCAACCCTTCCGCCTCGCGGCGTCCGTCCGAGCTCGCTCCGGGCGAGCGATCTTGCTCCGGGCGATTCCATCGTTTGGGGTTAGGGTTTCGGCGGTTTCCGCGATCGCGCAGGCCACTCCCCCAAACATAACACATCCTTGAAAAGGGTGGACATACTCCTAGCAGTAAGAGGATGTAAGAGGACCTCTTCATCCTCTTCCGACACCAGGCGGGTGCGCATCTGGTGGAAGTGGATTCGCCTGCTTTTCAAGGATCAGCCTGGACTATTTGGACTCCTCCCCCTGGCCCATCAGCATTCTGGACGTCTTCCTCAACATCAACCAGACGGAGTTCATGACCTATGTGGCTGGTCGGAAAGGGGGGCATGGCCGGGTTTGTCGTATGACCCGCTCTGACAGGCACATTTTTTCCTCGGAGAGCGAGACCTATCGGGCCATTGGGGTTCTGACTTCAAGTATAGGAAGTGGTGCCGGGCGCTGCAGGGTGCCGCTGGCATGGTGCTGCCCACAATTATCATGTGCTATTTGGGCCTACGCTGGCTTTTTTTGGGGGGGAAATGCTTCACATCACCAGTGATGGAAGCTTCAGGGTGCTCCTTGGCTTGACACTCCTAAGGCCCCACAAGCCTCCCAGTGTTTTTTTTGTTTCACCTGCATGTGGGGACAAAATCTGGAGGAGGCACCTTTGTAGATGCAAATCCGTTGTGCTAGGCACCAAGTTTGAAACCTTAGGCCTTCGGCTTGTGGTGGCTCCGGCACGTGTGGGGTATCACCATCCCACGCATCTTCGGACAGACCAACACCCACCGTCAGTGTAGGCTTCCCCAAACTCTGAGTTCCGCCCCCACCATCGTGTGACTCCAATGGATCCAAACGCGCTGAAGAGCGATGGAAAGCGGCTGAAACCGGCGGAAACCCACGCCGACGCCACGACCAACGGTCGCGAGACGAGCGAGCGAGCAGCGCGGTTTCGAGAGCCCAGAGAGAGAGAGAGAGAGACCGAGGAGCAATATGCAGCCAAACATCCTGTGCGAGCCCACGCTGTGCCTTTGGAATCGATTCATTGGCAGCCACCGGGTGACATCGTTCAAAGGCCGGCTGTGGATGCGTGTGAGGTGGTGGCAGTTTGGGTCCAAAGGTAAAGACATATCACAACACACTGCTGCTTAAAAGGAATGTGCCAGAAAGGGAATCCTGGTCCTTGCCTCGGTGGTTTTGGCATGGTCGTGCCGGCTTCTATCCCAGAAGTCCCAAGACTGGGCTGGGCACGCGCGCAGACCAAGCGCGGCAGGCTCTCCGGTGCCGTTCCGGCGGAGATGGCCGTTCCGGCGGAGATCGCCGTGGCCGTGTTCGGGACCCACGCCACGCTGAGCCTCGAGCCGGTGGATATGCTGGGCCGAGCCCAGAGGACGCCTGGGCCGGTGGTGTTGGAGGCGTCCGCCAGGGGAAGGAGAGGTGGAGAAGGTCGTGTTTGTGAGAGTGTTTCTTCCCTCTCGCTCCATGCATCACGTGTATCATATCATATAACCAATTCATGCCAGTGATTATGAAGTTCACAGCTCACCACAAGCCTTGGTGGTTTGTAGAAGGTTGCCCGTTTGACCTGGACTCCTGGATGATTTGTGCCGGCTTGCCAGCAGCTGGTTGGATTTAGGAAGCATTTGCTATTCTTAGCGATGTGGGCCTTACTCCACCCTTGGTTGATGGACCAGTTCTCCTCCAAAGAGGGTATCCCCGGGATACCGTAGTTTCCCCTAAAGCTCAAGCCTCTGAAGAGGCAGAAACATGTGCATTCTCAAGTCTTGGCCCGCCCAGGAGGTTTAAGATCAAGGCCACCTTCTTTGGCATTGTTGGGGGCCCCAGCTCTCCGCGGGTCGCTTCGTTGAAATAGGGCAACGCGTTTCGGGAAGTGTGGGGCGCGTTTCGGCGCAGGAAGGGCTGATAGAGCCGATGCCCCGTTTAGAGACGGTTGTTGCAAACGTGGAGGTGATCTTCCAAATCAACTGCCAAGACTATTCCAAGAACTGTTTTTAGATGACCTGAAAGGGCATCTCCTTTACTTCGGTGGTGCCAGATGTAGTCCTTGGACTTCTAGGGTACGTATGTATATATATATATAATAGATATAAGTAGTCCCTATTCTAGCAACTGCGACTCCTGGGGCGTTCTTGCAGCATTTGCTGGTTCCGGAGTTCAGATACCTCCATCCCAACACTTGCCTGGATTTCATGGCGTTGGCGGATCCACCGTGCCGATCCACTCGGACTCACCATTGCCAGATCGATTTCCACCGTGCGTGGTCACCCATCCCACCCATCCCCCTTTTTCAATACATCAGGCTGCAGGCTTCACAAGGCTCTCTGTGGGCACCGGTTCCGCCCACGTCCCACGTCGTCCCCTTTCGTCTCCGCCCGAGCCGCTTCGCCGTTGCCCCGGGTTCCGCCGGGTCCAGGAGCCCCGGTGGTGCGAGCTCCTGGGACTGTGCGACCTGGGCGCCAGCGAGGTCACACAGCTGCTGCGGAAGGCCGAGGAGGATGCGTGACGGACGTGACCACATGACGTGAAGAGGTTGACAGGAAGCTGATGGGAGGCGGACGTTGATAGAAGGCCTCTTTTTTTTTGGTTTGGGGTGGGGGGAACAACCAACCTTTCCCGAGGTGGGCAATCGGATGGGGCGGACGGGTGGACGTGGACCCTCGCTTTGAAGGACCCCTTCGCCTATCCGTGGGAGATGATGCACCTTGGCTGCCCGGTTTCGGCCTTCCTCGGCGTGAGCCACACGAAGGGGGAGGATTGCCACCGTGCATGAGGAGTCCTTCAGGTACGCGAACGCGCCCCCCTGGTCGGAGGCGCGAACGCTCCACCTTGAAAAAGATCCAAGCTGAGATTTACTCGCTGTTTGGTGAGCCAGCACAAACCCTCAACCATCTCAAACCACTGGCTTGCAATTCAGTTTGTAGGGTCTCTGCTCGACCTACCTCCACCTACCTCCTTCGTGTTTGGCTCCACCCAGGTCGCAGCACCTGACGCAGGTGCCCCTGGCACGTTATGCGCTGCTGCTCTGCACCGAGCCAGTGGCTGGCTGCCTGATGTTGCGAAGGCTGCCCCTTGCGAAGGGGCCGAGCTCGGGGAATCTGTTTGGAGTGCTGGAGCTGCTGTTTTGTTCTCGGAGCTACGTCCGTTTGTCGTTGCCATCTGTGAATGAATGGCCTTTGGAAACAGCTCTCAAGATGTGAATAGGGTTCTTCAATAGGTCCACTTCTGCAGATTTGGATGGTTTGACCTTTGCCAAAGCCCGTGGAGGCTGAGCCTGCAGATGGGGCAGCCCCTGCCCATGCTGGGTCTCTTGGCTCCAGATGCACCCCCTGAAAGCTGAGGTGTCGGAGGTGCCCCCCCGGCGGCCTTCGCTGTTGGCGCCGTTCGGCTTCGGCCAAACAAAGCTTCTCACATGACTAAATAGCAAATGGAGCCCGGGTTCTTCTACAGCCTCCACGATGATGAAAGGGAGGGAGAGAGAGGAGAGCTGTGCACTTGTTGACCTCACCGATCCCTTTTTGGTCGCGCTTTCCCCTGGCATATTCGGCCATCCCAACACGAGGGTGGACCCCGGCCGGTCAGTTCGGCCCCATCCGCGGACTGGTGGTTTCAAGCGGGCTGAGGGTCGGTTCGAGAGGAGAGTGGCCACAGTTGAACCAATCAATGGAATCGATGGCATAGTCGAGGGCAACTGATTCAGAGCGATTTGCATCACCATGTTTTTGGGCGAGTGAAACTTGCTGTTGGGTCTCCTCCCTTGCTGTTTTTCATGGCTCGGTTTAGCTCGGTGGGCTCCGAGCGGGACAGCAGGCTACTTTGGTGTGGCTTTGCTGAATGGCTGCCCTCCCCAGGACGGGACTTGGAGACAAGTCATCGACAGGCCACCCCAATGATACGGCGGGGCGGCAAGACTCCTATGGAGTGAACTACGGTGGTGTTCCATCAACAGAACTCTGATGGTGGACATGAGAGAGGGGGGCAATGTAATGAAATGTATACAGTGATCTCCAAATAGACAGTGGCATGGTTTCCAATACATTTTCGACGTGGGGATCGACTTTTCTTCCTATTCCACCTGTCTCACCGTGTCATGGGTGTCTGTGACACTCTGGTGAACAGGACATCATCTTCAAGCCCCAGTGTACACAGCAGAAAACGATGGCTTTTTACTCTCTCTCTCTCTCTCTCTGATTCTCTCCATTCTCATATCTCTATGAATGCCGGAGAGGGGGGGCGTCACTCCGTCGCCCCTCCTCCGGAGAGAGGGGCCCGGGCCCTGGCGGCCCAGCTGAGGCCGGGTTCTTGGGGCCCGGCTGATCCCCCCGGAAGAAGGGTCCACGTCCGTTCTTTGGGGAGAAGGGAAGAGAAGAAGTCCTCCTGTTGGTTTCGGATCTCCGTGGATTTGGGGACCTGAAACTTCGAAGTGGGTATGGACGTGTGTGTACATGTATGGCAGTGTAGGAAGATGTGGAACACCAAGTCAGTGAATTTAGCCATTTTTCTTGGAGAACGACTGGGTTAACCACTGTGGCACCATCCCAAAAAGGTTCAAGATTTTTGGAAACGATCACCCTAAATAGGGGGATACGATACTTGTTAAGCCGCCCGATGTTTTCAATACCAAGGGAGGGGAGGGGGCCGTGGGGTCAGTGCTGGACTGTTGTGCCAACCTTAGGCGTTTCAGATCATATGTTTGGCAACGCCCAAAGATAGAAACGGTTCCATTCATCATCACTATCTTATTAGGATTTGACGTATCTATCTTTTTGGGGCTTGCTAATGCTAAATATAGATAAGGCATGAGAAGGCACCTAATCACGTTCCTCCCGTCATGATGGTGCCTGCGCACTGAAGAAGAACAATCAATCAGAAACCACTGATCCCAGCTCATGCCTTGTAATTGAACATCGTTGAGTATGATGATGGTTGTAGCTTCCGGCCCTTGCATTTCTTATCCCCCCTTAACACATGGCCGCGGCAAATTCCACTCTTATGGCTGGCTGGATGTTCATTGTCTTCCCACTGCACACACACACATATATATATATATATTTCCGGATAATAACTCGTGGCTTTTGTTGCTTATGATCAATTTAGATCATCTTGAATCCACATCGTGCTGGTTCAATCAACCCCAGTTCCCTTTCTTCTTGATTCAATCCACGGCAAGGCGGTATATACTCCAGCAAAGCTCCGCAAAACTCCTATGGCCACTGTTAGGTGCCCTGCAAAAACTAGCCGGCTACAGTCTCTATTCTGACAACATGTGTGAAATACGAAGGGGTGCCAGGATGAAGAATCTTCGAACGTGCTGCGCTCCTGAAACGTTGAATCGAAATGAAACGCCCGAAACGACATCGTGACTGACCAAGGCTCCAGGATGTCGCTCACCAGACCAGATCAATGAACTCATGCGATGGATTGTAGAGTATTTGTTCTGCTTGTTCCCAACCAGTCTGGAATGCGTCTGGGTATGCCAACTCATGCTTTCCACTAGATGCTGCTTCGAATCCTTTTCTTAGCGATGGGTAGAACAGCCGCCTGATGAGTGGTTGAACCATGGCATCCGCAAAGCTTGAACATGTAGATTTAGCTCAACATCATTTTGGCATCGTGCAGCAGTTTCGTGGATTCTGGATGGAAGGGCATCTTTGTGATGTCGTGCTGAAGAGTAATGATGGTGCCGAACATCCCGCTCACGCCGTTGTGCTATCTGCAGCCAGCATGTTTTTCAAGAAGCTGTTGAGCGGATCTGTTGTTTCACGCTAGGATGTCGTATACATGTCTCACTTACCTACTGTTTGGCTCAAGGAAAACCAGGTGCGACTTGTTGGTAGTTCTCGGTCGTTTACCTGTATCTACAGGTTATCAGCCGTATCGCCATAAGTGCGGTACGTGCTTTCTACTAGCTGTGGTCTCACCCCACCCTAGGTAGTGCACTATCTAGAGGCCATGGCTGATGATGATGGTTCCCGTGGTGACCGCTCACGATCAGGCTACGTTCCTACTTCGCCTGCGATGTCCAGTTCACCTGCTGCTGATCTCCCTGTTGTTCCGCTGGAGTTGCGTGTGCCAGTTGCGCCACCGACGTTCAGTGCACAGGGGGACCTGTTGCCTAGTGGTCAAGTACCGTCGCCTTTTCAACCTGAGTTTTCTCCTGTGATGAATGTCCAGAACGTTGATGCAAGACAGATCCATCAACAAGCAGTCTTCGTCAATGAGGATAGGTCAGCACAGGTAGCTCAGATCGCAGAGTTGCGGCATCAGGCCATTTTGGCCGAGCATGGGCAACAAGTAGCTGAGGAGGCTAGGCATTTTAGAGACGTAGTGGAGAACCAAGCTAAAGTGGCTGTCCAGGAGTCTAGGGAACAGATTGAGGCTTTAGCCAATCAACGATTGAGTGACATGAACCAAGCCCATCAAAATCAACATCTTCAAGAACAACGGGCTTACCTAGATCGCCTTTCGCTCGAACGACACACCGTCGTTGAGAACGAACGCGCCTCTGCCAAGCAAAGAGAGGATGCACTTCGGTCAGAGTTAGCAGAACAGAGTCGAATCATCAAGGAGTTGCGAGAGAGGTTTGACAACGCCTCGGGGAACCGAGTGCCTGCACCATCAGTGCAGCCACCTGGGTCTCAGGTGTCCCCAGCTTTGCCTCCAGCGAGCCTTCGCACTCAGTTGGAGAAGCCCGGGATCGAAGGCGGTGATGAGCCTCATCCATCCGATGCTGATGAAGAGGGTGGTGATAAATCAAAGAAAGACAAGAAGAAGAAAGGTAAGGATAAGAAGAAAGAGAAGAGCCCTAAGAGGGGCCGCTCGAGGGAGCGCAGAAAGAAACGCTCTCCTTCCCCATCACCATCGTCACCCAGTTCATCAGGAGGGAGTGATGACTCAAACGACTCAAGCTCTGAATCATCGCGTCTTGCACGCATCATTCGCAAAGAGTTGAAGAAGCAGCAAAGGAAGTCGAAAGACAAGGATCATGAGAGTAAAGCCAAAGAAGCTGACAAAATTCTCATTCCCAAGTTCCCCACGCCTGAGAAGTACAGAGACTGGAAGATCAAGGTGAGGGACAATATTGCTGCAGCTTCAGCGAAGCCGGATGAAGCAAGATCTTGGGTCGGGAAAGTATACAAAGATTCCCAAACTATTGATGCCTTGGATGATTCAGAGGGATTCGCAACCCTCGACGCAAAGCTTCTTGCAAGCTTAACCAATTGCGCTGAGGGGGACCTCGGTCGGCAGATTGCTACATTCAAGGAGTTGCGTGCTCGTGAAGACAAGAACGTGAAGGGTAGACACTTGCTCCTTCGGTTCCACGAGTATTTTGCCACAAGCATCAAGCATGGAGCAATCTACGGACTCGAAGACCTCATGTCCGTCAAAATGGTCAACGATGACCTCAAGGGCTTTATAAATAAATGGGATAGCGTTCTTGCCGGAATGAAAAAGGAACCAGAAAACAGTGTTCTGGAAGCCTATTTCCACCTGGCAGTGAAGCGTTTCAAGCCGCTTGAGCATGATTTGGCCTTGTACGACCGTGCAGCCGATGGAAGCAAAGAAAGAACATATGACTTCCTGATCACTGCTGCCCGGGCCTACCTCGAACGGAAAAGGTTGGAAAAGATGCGCGACGCCACGAAGCGTTCGCTCGGGTCCAAAGACACAACCATGCCAGCTCCGGAGGAGAAGAAAGGCATCTGCTACGAGTTCCAAAAGACCGGAAAATGCAAGCGCGGATCATCATGTCCTTACAAGCACGAAAAAGGCCGCGAGAAAAGCAAAGGAAAGGGAAAGGGCAAGGATCGCAGCCAATCTCGGTCAAGATCGCTGACACCAGGATCTCGCAAGGAGACTTGCAAGTTTTGGAAGGCAGGACATTGCCACCGAGGAAAAGACTGCGCATTCCAACACCCTGAAAAGACTGTCCCGGCGAAGAAAGAGGACAAAAAGAAGAAGAAGAAGAAAGACAAGAAACCTCGCAAGCGAAGCAGCTCACGAGGATCATCAGGCTCCGAAAACTCAACTGGCTCTGAGAGTCAGAGGAGAAAAGGTGGGAAGTCTTCTTCTTCCAATGCACCGGCAGCGGTATGCCTCCTTCGAGCAGTGGTCATGGCCGCAGTGGTCTCTCAGGGATCCTCCGTCCTCATCACTCGCCCGCTGGGAAGCGTGGCCATGCCAGTCCTTTCCGCATCAAACACTATGTGCACCGATTTTGACAACACAGAAAACATTGACAGTTTTGTTACGCAAAGAGTTCGTTTTGACGATCAACCAAACGTTTTCAATCATGCTGTTGAGTCTTCTTCCAGTTGGAGATCCGTTCAACCCCGGAGTAAGAAGAAACGAAGACCCTTTACACCAGGTCGACCGGAGCATGCTGAGGCAGTTCGTGTTGCCACTGAGGACGCATCCATTGCAGCATCACACCTTCAGAATGCTGTCAGGAACGAGCTGTTGTCCTTGCCGGCAGAATGTTCGTACCTGTGCAACTCTGATATAGGTTGCATCAAGTGTTTTGAGAGGAGGTCATGTCCAACAGTGCCCGCCACTGAGATTGCATGGATTGCAGATACTGGCAGCGCACACGATCTTGTATCTAGACACATGCTACATTCGGATGAAGTGTCACAATCGTCCAAACCGGTCAGTCTTCTTACTGCCAACGGAGTCTTTCAAGCCACTGACCAAGCCAGAGTCAATGTCCCCGTGTTGGGAACTGATATCGATCCTTATGTCTTGGAAGATAGCCCAGCCGTCGTATCGGTAGGACAACGCTGCATCGACGCAGGATGGAGCTTTCATTGGCCCGCTTACAGTAGGCCGTACTTCAAGAAACCAGACGGAA